TTGCACATAGTCAATAATGTGGATATATTGCTTTCAAGGTTAGTCTTTTTAATAATAAAGTCAGAGTAACACTAAGATCAAACTGAATTGGACAACTGCATGAAGTTTTTCCTGAAATCCATTGAACCTTTTCTGACTTCATTCAATCCATTTTCAGTCCTATTTCCCTAGCAAGGGACACAGCTTCTTTCATATGTAGTGCATTGCCCTGACACATTCTAGGCATATCCCCATCATCTCCAAAGTCTACTGCTCAAGAAGTAAAGAAGTATTTTTAATAAATCAGGCTGTGCAGCATTAATATCAGGTGGTCTAAGTGAAAGACATCATTTTCTATTTTTTTTTAAAGTCTCCTGTTTGGCTTTTATGTTTTAAATAACTGGTTACGTTCCTTTTAAAATGCACTATGTTACTTTTTTCAATTTTCTAATTCTTCTTTGGAAAATTTGTTTTTTCTTACAAAAAACATTGCTGTTTCTGGCTACAAGTTCTCACATTAATGTATATTTTTCTAAAGTATTTAGCTTATTTAGCTGTGGGTTTCCAGATCACTCAACTATGGTTATTGAATGCACTATTAGGGTGTGTACCTGAGTATTTTAGATGCTACACTTTATGAGACTGAATTCATTCATAAGGAATTTTCCAATTAAGCTATGATTTCCTTTTGGAAAAATATACTGAATGTTTTATTAATGTGTGGTAGTTAGGGTTTAACGTTTTAGAAGACCTTTAACATCTGCCTTTAGAAGATGTTAGAAGACCTTTAACATGGAACCTTATTCCAGATGTCAAAGGTATTCTAAAGCAGGATTCTAACATAATTCCATTTTTTAAATCAAATGTACTTTCAGCCTGTGAAACAAGAGAGTAACATCGTGTTGCAACGTCCAAGTCACTCATGAGAAAATTGAAGCCCATGTCTACAAAAATCTACCTTTTCTCAAGTCAGTACATCAGGGGCTAGTCAGCCACGTGCACTGACACGTCAGTCATGTTCCTTTGCGATGAAAACCAGATGCGTGAAACATGAACACACACGAACACATGTACACAAGTCGTTAATAAAACAGCAGAGGCTTGTCATGCATTACTCATGTGTGACACACAGTTTAAACACACTTACTCGGATTTGGAGATTTGGAATGGTCAGTTTTTTGTTTTCAGCACGGGAGTGCCAGTATAATGGCTCTGTGCCTTTGGAGAGTGTTTACAATATGAATCAGCAAATGTCTGTCTTCAATAATCATAAACAAAGTCTGTTCTTTAGCCGCCTTGGCACCTGATGCAAGAAAACACATTCTTAATCACTGTTCTTGAAGACTGTAGGAAAACTACTGGTGAAAATCTTTAATGGTTTTGTGTTTTTTGAAAGCACAAAAAGGCTGTATTGAGACTGCACGTCTCGTTTTAAAGTTGTACTTTATACTGTAGTTTTAATAGTCATCAATCTATAAACCCCTCTTTTCTTTAGCATTTCCAGCGTAGCTGGTTCATTTATCTACAGTTATCTTCAGTTGTCTACATGAGTGCTTATTTGCTCAGAAAAAAAATAATTTTGCTGGTATGTATATAAAGTGCTCTATATGGTTATCATTATGTCATTGTCTTAGGATGCATCCCATTGAATTAATGAGCTTTTTAATAACCACTAGACTGCATGTAAAAAGTATTTTTTCCTTGTGTGTATTACTTGTGCATTAGCTTGATGATATGACAAAATAAAATCATGTATACATATCCTTTCTAATGCTGGTTTGCTTGCCGATTTTGTCTCAAGAAAATACATAATGCTGTTCTTTGATAAACATTTGTGTTTCTTTTTTTAAAACCAGGTGAAGTGGCTCTGTGCAGGCTTGGAGTACAAAGTGCTCTGTGTTATTTTAGTGATGTTCCAATGCTTTCACCCTCTGAACCTCTCCACCAAGGACCACCTACGCTTTGGATAGCTGCCAGCTGTAGATCTGCCCCCAGATTGGGGGCCTGCCAAGACAAGGCGAGCCAATCGCTGGTGCTTGTTTACGAACATGCTTTTCACTACAACTCATCTCTCTCTCTCTCTGACAGAATAGGCACAGCTCAGTCAGTGATACAGAACCATAGCTGGTATGAGAACAAATGCTAACAGTCTTTCTACAGCAGAACTCTCTAAAGCAGACTTCCAATTTCAATTTTTGTCCACATAATCTCAAAGCCATAGACCGCAGACTGCTGTTTCACTGCTATTAGGACTCATTAGCGTGACATGGCAAACATTAACTGGTGGAACAGGAATATATTTTTAAGAACATCACTGTGAGTTATGGGAATTAATATTAATCAGATCACAAACCTGAGATACTAAATTGTGGACTTCTGAATTTGGTTTTCTGCATATACAGTACAAGGTCAGCTTTGTGATAAGTCCTTAAACAGGTGAAAATGTTTTATTTTATGTTATAGACACAAAAAGCACGATTAGGAGTCTTTTTGGACAGGTCTGCCTCCATAATCATCCATAAGAACAGCTGCAGACGTGAGGTGTTCATTCAGACAATCTAGCCTGTTTGGTTGCTGGTAGCTAATTCACCCAAGGGTCTCATCCTGCTGTTGGTTGGGAGAAGCAAGGGTCCCTGCTTCAGCAGCGTGTCTTAGTAGCTGGCTAGTTCCCCTCTCCCACAATCCTTTGCTAACACAAATGTCTCCCTTTCTCAATTTCGAATCCACTTCCATTTGTGTCTTCTGGTTTATACTTCACTCTTAATTCTGAGGAAGTCCACTGGGATGACTTTGCCAATGCAATTGGAGGATTTTGAATATTTGGATCAGGAGACCCTATAGGCTCCTCTGTTCAAGACTAAAAAGCTTCTGTTCTTTCATTTTGAAACTGTAGGACATTCCTTTAATCCCTGGAATGTATCTGGTTGCTTTTTTCTGGACTGATTCCAGAGCAGTAATGTCTTTTCCCTAACATGATGCGCAAATGTTTTAAACGATATTCTAGATGAGGTCTTACCTTTGTGTTAAAGAATTTTAACATAACACCCATTGATTTGAATTCTACAGTTCTGACTATATATCCTAACATTGTGTTTGCCTTTATTCTGCTTCCCCACATTATCTAGAAAATGACATGTCAAAATAAACACTTGTAGTTTTTACTACCTGTAAGCGGAATCGGGTGATGCTGCTCATTAGTATTCCATGTAATTTCAATTCTTCTTTTCCTGGATCTCAAGTCTGAGTTTTGACCTGCCTTGTCCATTTTGTTTTCCACTTGCTTGTCGCTTTTCACATGCTTTATTTTCATTTTTCATACAAGATGGTGCATGAAACCAGTTTTGCATTCCTGGGCAGGATGAATCACGTTTTCCTTAAACAAATTTTAAAAAACACAAGCTCTGTATAGGGAAGGGAGCCTTTTAATAGATCTGAAAATGATTCAGCCCTTGAGAAAGCAGACCAGTTCTATCCCAGTGTAGGCTGACAGTTTACAATCATGAGATGAAACACAACAGCAGCAGAAACATTCCCTGTGTGTATGTTTGCTATATACTTAACACTGAGTTCTTTGCCTGTTTCTCTAAACTGCAGAAATAACCCAACATTTCACCTTGGATTCAGTAGAAAAGTACTACATTGATAATGCTCCTGAACAGGGAGATCTAATAAAAGAATTGTTTACTTTAAAATTGTGCAATGAATATTGTTCTGGCTAACATTTACTGTTCTCCAATGCGAAATTTATTGCTTGTGCACTAACTGCAATAAACCTTCCTTCTCAATTATGCTGTGTTTTATTATAGGGGATTGGCATAAGGCATTTGCCAATACCTTTTGTTTAATATCCTCAGGGCCCAGAGGATCAGCATAGCAACTATTACTGACACAGTGCAACAGCAGCTGTGTGATGCTCATTGTTTGCTGAGCGTTTTACAGACTGTTTACACAATCTGGCCGAGTTGCACACAGTTAATTGTATTTGGTTTTAATAATGTTTTATCTTCTGCAGCTAGAGTACTTTTATCTGTGTTATGTATGAATAATGTTTCAGGTATTCGGGCACCAGATGTTAAAGATCAAATTCGAGTCACGCAGAAATGGGACATTAAAGACGCTTTCACTCTTTCCAATTTGATTTGAATCTTTCACAGCATCACATTGGACTTTAGCAGGATAGCATCCCATAATGCTGGGTAGTTTTACATATTTGTATTTTCCTATATAAATACTGTTATACTTTCCTCAACAGATATCCGGCTCATGCCTGTGACTCAACTTGTCATTGAGACACTAGTGTCCAAGAGGATCATACTGCATGTGCATTTTTAGAGTAGAGTAGTTTATTACCATGTGTACAATGGAATTCTTAATCGCACTGATCTCTCAGGACATACACAATACAACAGACAACACTACACAGTGTAGACAACGGAAACAATAAATATATTGTGAAAAAATAAATATGTAGTAGTGAGACCAAGAAAAAAAAAAAGGGTAGACTATGTTAAAAAGTGCAGGTGTGTATTGAGTCTAGTGGTCCGTGTTTTAACAGTGTGGTATCGCTTGCCAGAGGCTAGGGGGGAGAACAGTTTGTGGCCGGGATTGCTGGGATCCTGAAAGATGGATTGGGCTTTATTGCGACACCGGATGGTGTGGATCCCACCGATTGATGGTCAGTCACATTCCATGACTCTGTGCCGTTGCCACAACCCTTTGTAGTGCGTCTCTGTCACGCGTGGTAGCACTGCTGTACCACACAGTGAGGACACTGGTGAGGACACTTTCTCTGGTGCTGCAGTAAAAGTTCATGAGGAGCTGGTTCCCCAGACCGCATTTCTTTAAGCACCGCAGAAAGTGCAAGCACTGTTGTGCCTTTTTCAGATTTGCTACAGTGTTTTGGAGGTAATTTAATTCTAAATTCTGTGTCACATGGAATCCTTTACCTATTATTTTTTCCTCCTGACATCCACTGGTTTGAGTGACAGTAAATAGTTTTAACAAAGAGTGACAACACTAAATGGGTAGAAAAAAATAAAGATTTATTACAAGAATTTGTTAACCTCTTAAGGTTTAATTATGTGCAGTTTAAAAAGCTGCTACACAAGTTGCTCCTTTTGAGACAAAAGGGTCAATTTTAATGTTTTAAAAAGAACGGTTAAGCATTAATTAATCTTATTAATCTTAAGTACACTTCTTGCAACTTTGAAACAAATCACATACACAGGGATGTTGATACAAGTCGAAAGCACACAATACATAATACAATTAAAAAAAGCTATTTACATCATTGTATCACTTTGGCCATATAGAATAATAATCATAATGTTTAACAGCTCAATATAATAACTAAATCCAGTCTAATAATAAATTACACAGTACTGTATGTAAACCTGCTATCAAATCACCAATACATTTAACTGTCTCCATTAAATTCAAAAACATGAATTCCTCAATATAAATATATTTTTAAATTCTTTGAGACTAGCTTCTTTCAAAGTACATTTCTACAAAACAAATCAATTCCCCCTCAAACATGTGGCTGTACGATCTTTAAGAGCAGTTTATGCAAAAGCCTTATGAGAGATGTTAACTGCTTTATGTGTTGTAAAGATGTATGTGTTGGAGTCAGCCTTTAAAAAAAATGTCCTTTTCCCCTTTAAATTCAGTCTGTCAGTACCCAAAACGCAAACTTCAAAGTCATTTTCATTGGCAGTTGATGAAAAGTAGTTAATAAGTAAATCTTTTGATGTTTTTTGGTTTATCTGACTTCTAACTCCATGTATACTCTGAAGCAAAAATGCTTAAAAACAGACCTAAGCAAGTTATTTACACAAATCATTTCCATGACAATCAGCTACGTGTCTATCTCTCCACAGAAAGTGCGATCAGTCCTCCTGTCACCTCCAAAATCAGATTTTGCAGCTGCAGTGCAAAACAGAGGTGGAGAGGAAGGACGAAAGTCCAGACGGCCTTGAACAACAGACGTCCCTTTGTTGGCTGTGTGTGTGTGCGAGTGCGCTCTTGCAGTTTAAGCTTAAAAGCGATAAAAGAAGGTCTTTCCTCCGCCACACATGCTGAGGATCAGTTCTCTACAGACGAACATGTACAGAGATTCCTGTTCTTATCCAGCTGTACCCACCAGCGCAATGACATTTCAAGATAGGACATCTTGTGCAGGGTGACCAGCTCAAAGACCGTAAATACGACCTCAAAAAGGACCGAAACCGTTACTTAAAAAGTGGCAGGAGGGCACCTCTCCCCCTTTTTTTCCAGGGCACGGACAGCGGTTCAGTCCTCAGTGTCGGGCTGAACTCCCAGCATGACGTGCAGCTCCTCTGCGGAGTAGCCCAGCAGGTTGTGCAGGTCACAGACAAAGCGGTAGACGTAGCGCTTGCCCGACGTCTTGTGGATGATGTTCTTGTCGTAGTAATAGCGCAGACCCCGGCTCAGCTTCTCGTAATTCATCTTCGGCTTGTTCTTCCGACGACCCCAGCGCCGGGCCACCTGGAGGAGCGAGGAGAGACAAGGTAAGGGAGAAGGAGGGACAGCCAGACATATCCAACGTCGGCTGAACGGGCCAGATCTGCTGTGAATTTCAGTTTGCTCATCCTTCCGTGGCACAGAAGAAATTAAGACCACAAGACAACAATGTGTGGAGAGTGGCTTGCGAAAACGAACTTTCAGGTCATGCAATACAGCTAACGCCAAACAAAGGAGCGCAGAGTTTTTGCTGGTGTGATAGTTTCAAGGGTCTGTTTCTCTTTTTTTTTTAAATAAAGCCATGTACTTAAGGTTAACAACATATTTGTACATGTAAAGTCAGAGTGGGACAGCAGTACTGACCTCATCAGGATCGGTGAGTTTGAACTCCCAGCCATCTCCGGTCCAGCTGATGAAAGACTGGCAGGACTTGTCCGTCAGCAGCTCCAAAAGGAACTGCCACAGCTGGATCGGTCCGCTTCCTGCAGGAGGTAAAACAGGAAAACGGTCAAGGGCCGGCCACATTAAACAGGAAGATGTTGCTATGCCACCCCAGCAAAAGGAGACAGGAGCTGACCTGTGAATCCAGCGAGGACAGAGGCCGGGATGACTGGCTTGCCCAGCTCCTGGGGTTCGTTTCTCTCCTGCACGTAGTCTTTGAAGGACAGCCCCTGTTTGTGCAGGCCCAGGGGCCCCGCGCTGCAGTCCTCGTCGAAGCTGTCTTGGGAGGGAACCCGCTGCATGTCCGCCAGAGAAGACTGGCTGCTCCAGGACCGCAGGGCTGACTCGCTGCTGTCGAAGCTGTCCATGCTCTCCACAGAGCTCTGCTCCTGTGAGGCAACTGCGGAGAAGCAAACAGGGACACCATTATTTTTGTGTTCTATAACTGTTGGATTCATATACAAAGCAACAAAACCCGGCCAATATAGAAATGGGACCTCACACAAAAAACTAAGCAGGGTGAAGAAGGGAAATTGAACATATTCTGGCAATAATGTCATTAAACAGTTGTTTTAAAGGGCACGTGAACAAATAAGAGAAACGTATTTTCTCTGTCATCGCTCCTGTCTCTGCAACCTGTACCGGGGCAGTATTTAAATATTACGTTGTTGTCAAGTGTTGTAGCTCCCATGAAGGCAGACGTTTCCTCAAGCACCCAAAAACAGACAGAGGAGAAGGATCAGATTTTTCAAAAATGCAATTCAGTGGCATTTCTTTGGAGGAATAAAGGAATTCATTTTTGCCCACCACTACACATTAAAGGACTTTGAATCATATGATAAAAAATCAAAGATTAGTACTTACAGGGTTTACAGACTCCTGAGTTTAGGTTGTTCCTTGAGAAGCCCTGGTTGACAGAGAAGTAGCCAATGTTGACAGTCTGCAGTTGGGGTTTGGGAAACATCTGAAAGTCTTGTTCTGTGGCCAACACTGTGGTCTTGTCAGTGCTCTCAAACAGCTCTCTCAGCAGACTGCTGGTGTTATCAGAGATCTGCAGAGCACACTGGGTCTGCTCAAGACTGAATCCTACAGAGGGAAAGAGCTCACTCTTAACTCCACTGGACATACAGCATACCAAAGGGGTCACAACAAAGCTTTCCTGTGTAAACATGTAAAACATGCCAGCGCGATGCCTAGTTTTGCAATTGATTTGAGTCATTTTCACACATGTCAGGGAATACTTCACCTTCCTTAGCCAATTCAGAAACAGTGAATAGTGTACTAAATAAATATGATGTTCTTCTGATTCAGTGTTACCTGGATACCATGAATATCAAGGTACAGTGGAAATAGAAATTCTCAGGTGCAATGATAGAAGAACACAGAAATACAGAGGAACCCAACTCTATACACAGCCATTGCTGAGGGCACCGCCGTAACCTTAACATATCTAAAACAAAGCAGTACAGCACCTGAAATATCCAAGGACTTACCTATGGAATTGTTGTTAATCCACCTGGACATTGTGGTAGGAGGGACACTAGTGTTGTTGCACTGAGACTGTTTGTCCTGAACATCTGTGTGAAAGAAAGACAGAGGCACATGATGTGATTAAGCCAATGATCTTCAGCTGAAAGTGTAATACCTACAGTATCTGAAGGAATCTGATTCATCTTCGCAATTATCCGATCACGTGTTGAGATTCCTGCATTCCAAAAGGAGGAAGCCCACCTCTAGGGCTTTAAGGTGAACCTCCACTGTTCTCTTAGTGATGAAATGTTTTGACCGATGGGTTGAATACAGTATTTGCAGCAAATGCATGGAAACCTAATTCCCCCTTTACCTTTCATCATCTGCTCCAGGTGCTCCCAGAGGATGTCCCCCACAAAGTCGGGAGCTAGCTCCAAGAAACGCTCCTTGCCCAGATCACAGAGCTCCTGCCCGGTCATGTTGAAGCTGGAGAAATTGACGCCGGCCAGACTGAACTCGCTCGCTGACCATCGAAGCCACTGAATAACTTGCTTCTTGCTCCACACACGTGGGTCTGCCATGGAGAGAGACTAATCAGCACCCCGCCACAGCCCGATTACTCCTCGGATAGCTGTGCCAAACACCTGCCTTCCAGTAGGTCCATAAAAGGCTCAGTGTTGATTTGAATGTCTTCAGGGATCTTGTGACACAGTTACTTTATATACTGCACAGTACAATAGCCTAATAAACCAATAAATAGCCTCAGAAAACACTTAATCCTGACAAACAACCTAATATTCCCTATGCACCTTTAGCAAGGCAATAATAAGGACTGAGGCTACAGGAGTAAGGGGCAATCTTTTTGAACGACAGCCATGAAGGGCAATGGCAGAGGGCAGTTTTATATACGATTCAAAGCCAAGGCTTTGGGGGTGTCCGCTGTGAGAAGATGAGAAGACATCTTGATGGAGACTCACCGTTGGGGATACCACAGCGCAGCTGCTCCTTGGCAAACCCACTGAAACTGGCCTTCAAAGCCTGGCTCATGACCGCTTTGCTGCAGGGCGTCAGCAGAGGGACGGTGCACGAGCCCAGATCTAGGAGACGCAAAAGAAACAGGCATATTGATTACTGAAGGCCAGTGAAAAGGGCTTCCTGGTGTTTACTTTCTTCAGTGCAGGAGAAGATGGATCTTGCCGGCCACATGGACCTTTCACTATGCTAGTTAATGACAGACTGACGTGTTGCACAGATTTATCTCTGCACAACTGGCTTGGCTTATGAGTTTAATTTCTAGCATAGAATCTCTGATGTTTTAGGGATCCTTTTAATCTCTGAACATGTTCTCTGCGTGAGGAATATAACAAAACCAAGTTCCAGATTCCAGTGGGGAAGCTGCTGAGAGTACTGCACTCAAAGAGATCCGAGCTGTGCACTTCTGACCAGATGTTTAGAGGGCAAGAGAAGCAGCTGGATGCTGATGGCTTGAAAGAATGGAAAAGCCACAGTTGCACAGGGAGATTCCTGTGGGCCAGTTCTGGCTTTGATCTTCGCTGCACAGTTGCTGAGGTTGTCAAACTGTGGTGATGGTGTGCGTGTGATTGTTAACAACTATCCCTGACGACTCTTTCAAAAAACTTCCCCTTTTTATTAAGTAACATCATTTACATCATTCTGGTCTCTGATGTTGTAACTATGTTTCATAATTCTCATTGAACACTAAGACGCTAATACTGACACATACTGTACATTACACTGGGGTTTAATGACAAAATTTGCCTACAAGGGGCCTTTGTGCTAAATGAGGCTAACACATTAGACTTTTGCAATTTCAGACTGGTTCCACCTTGCTTGGGAACAACGTTTTGAAAAAACAATTTTTAACTTGGTCATCAACAAAACAGTGCAAGTGATCCTTGTTTTCTGAATATCCAAGGTCTTGGTTTATTTTTTTTCTCCATTAGCTCAACCTCTCTCAATCTAGATCCAAAAGTAACTTCCGAGAAGGACATTCATTGACCTTTTTTGCATTAACTCCTAAATTTACTCTATAACTATCCCAAGAAGTGAAGATTTATGCACAATTTTCCTCTTTAATTTTCAGTTTTTCATTGCTGAGGTCAGGCCAAAAGTATCATTCTATTATCTTGGAGGACAGGATCAAGTCTTCCGGAGGTCTGTGATGTATCTTACCAAGTGAAATGGAGTCAAGGCCTGAAGGCACCTCCTGGACTGACTGTTCATCATCTGAAGCAAGATAGCATCCCGCAAATAAGGACATGGGGTCTTCTAGGACATCAAATGCAGTCTGACGCTGAGGAAAAATAGGAGATAAAAAGAGCTCTTAAATGACAACCTCTGCATTGTTGTTTTTAGCTAAAAGGTGCTAATAACTGTTCCTTGCCTGCTCTAAAATTAGTTTTGGTTGCTTTCATTTAAAAATTAAAACAAAAAACAGGTTCTATCTATAGAGTAGGTTTATTTTTATAGTCTTATGGTCAATTATCTGGTACATTGAAAGTCAATGAAAGGATATCGGTAAGAAGACATTTAAAATGTGGCTCACCATACTCATCCAGCTGCCAGAGCAAATAACTCTGTACTGGCACAACAAGTGTTTATATCTCAAAACACGAAACTGAATGGTCAGAAATCAGAGAGTCTACAACTTTTACAATCGCGAGTTTGAAATTCCACTAAGCAAGCTATGAAGAGAAACAAACTGATATTGTCAAGAGTGGAATTGAAACCCATTCAACGGGGCAGTGCAGCTGAAGGACAGTCAATAGGCCTTAGCAGACAGCACTGTACAGAGTCCACACCTTTTCTCTACCTTGTCCTCTGCCACTGAAAACATTCCACTCTCTGAGATGAACTGCAGCCTGAAGGTGACCATATATGGTCTTCCGTTTCCACAGCTGCCAGTGGTGGTGGTGTCGGGGGGGGGCCTTAACTTTATTATCTGAGAGAGGTGATAATTCATCTTGTGGCTGCCGGCTGCAGATTCTAACTGTATATGATTTGCTGCGTGGGAGTGCGCTGTTTCAACCCAAAACTGCAACCAATTCCTGCCTCCCCTTAGATCATGGTGGGTAGATTGCTGCCTTATCTAGACATATAAAAGCAGGTCATGCCCTGACTTAAGACAAATCTGAAGTGCCTCTTTTCTTTTTTGTTAAACCAGTCATAAAGTTTACAACAGAGGTTGACTGATTTTATCATCTTTTATCCTTCCCAGCTTACTTTCTCTCTGACAGCCTTCTGTCAGCAAACACCGATTGGCCCAACCTGCTGTCTGCTGCCAAGAACAGTACTTGGGCAAAATCTCACCTCTAACACCTGCTTTCACCCCCAGTTTCTTAATGAGAGTGCTTAGCCACATTAGCTATCATTAATACTCCCACACCTTACTGATAAACACACAAAAGCTTGGCTTGCTGGGCCAATACTGACCTTTTCAGTTCAAACACAGGCCTGCCACTGACGTCTTTGGATATTTCACTGTTTTGTTTCTGATAACAAGTAATACAACCAGAAGCCTCAAGCTTTAAACTAGGAGTTAACTGTATTTCCACACATGCGCGTAATACTCTGTGAAGACAGCTTGTGCGCACCATCTGCTACATTAAATCATTAAAGGCAATCGCTTGAGGGTGATATCTTTGTATTTTTTATATATTTTAATGGGAAAAAAAATTGTGAGTTTGGTATCATTCCAAACACACGAATAAATATCAATGTGAAGAACGCCCTCACTTTGATCTTGTTTGCCGAATTTTAGCCATGCAAGTGACAGAAAAATATAGTTCAATAAAACGAATGTGCCGTGATCAGACACCTCGCTGTCTCCGTTCCTCGTGTTTACTCCAGCTTCTGCATTTAATGGGCAATTTAGGCTTCTGGAAACAGCGCATCTCAGAAACAATTTAAGAAAATAAATGTGCTCAGCCTGACCTTTACCGGAGTATAACAGCCCATGCTATGGCTAATCTAGAAGGTGTTCAGATGAGAATTTTAGTGTCCTTATGCAGCTTATCTTTACAGCACATGGCTGAAATTAAAATTCCACAGCAGCTGCAGTGGAACCTGGTGTATCCCTTAGGAACCCTTAATACACCCACTGTAGATTACTGTAGATTAAAATTGCATTGTAAATATTAATATCAATAGGATGACAAATGTTTAGGACTTACTGTACTGAAAAAAAGCTTCTTGGCACACACCAGTTAGCAATACCTGGTCTGTGTTATTTCTGGCCTCGCTCAGAGTGAAGACAATGTTCTTTAATTTGTTTTGGTTTTTCATTTTGTCAACAAACTGATAAAAAGGCCAGCAGGCCTGTATTTGCATTAGAGCACACTACAGAGTTTCGACAGTCTCTCTTTGGGCTGACAGCTCCTGGGCTGGGCTGGAGTCTGGGTACGAGGAGTATGGTGTGAGATTACTCATAGGGTCTAGTCACACTCTGATTGTGTCTGTTTTCACATCTTCTTCCAATCTAGCACTTGGGTCACATCACTAGTGCACAAGCAGTGCATTGTTATAAAAAAAGAGTAAATATAGAGAAAGCTAGTGAATGATTTATTCAAATAAAACAGTTACGAGCTCAAGGTGGAATTAACTTGAATACAAGACAGTAGCACAACAGAACCTGAAGTGTTTACCAGTGTCTTAGACTGGGGTCTAACCCTGCTTCTGGAGAGAGACTCTTACAGGTCATCCTAATCCACTCAATTTTATAGCTCACCATGAATCAATTATGCAAGTAATCTACACATTTAAAGAAACCTTGATCTCAAGGGCCTAAAGGTTTTGTTCCAAAATGAACTGCGAATTACATTAGTTAACAAATCACCTGTAATTGATACACCCTCAAGTATACCCTATATACTCGCTTGTACACATCAGACCCAATTTTGTAGAGTATACAAAGATGTAGGAAGATATTCTTTGAACATGACCGGCACTTTCTAGAAATAATTCTGATGTTTAAAACCAATTTTCCGGTTGAAAGACTTTGGGTGTTTGCACTGAACCATTTCATCACCCCGACTTGAAAGGAGTTCAGACCAGCACAGCCTCCCTTTACTGGCAAGTGAAAGGTTTTTCTGAACAACAAACACTTCAAGGTCTCTGGATTTGTGTGTCTCTTTGTTGTCTGAGGACTAACTGAGGTTTTCAGAAGAGCTTTGGAGTTGTATACATTAGATACCTTAAATACAAAAACTCCTCTACAGATTACCCCGTTTATTACTACAGTACATAGTTGGACGCAGCATTTTTCAGTGGAAGTAAAGGATTTTATAATCGCCTCTTTTCTCTTTCCTCCACGCAGTGCACCTTTTGTAACACAAAACCGTTTTCAAAGCGGTTCAGGTACTGTATTTCTAACCTCACACAACTGCTACTGAAGGTAACAATTTCAGTTCACAAGTCAAAGGCGATACTCATACGTTTGACACAAAAAGACATGAAAAGCAACCATCATTTACGAGATTAAAGCAATTTATGTCATTGTGCAGTGGCATTTAAATAAACCTTGATATATTGAAAGTGGAGTAATCATGAAGTATTGATTCTCAAATTGTGATGACTGAAGAACACACTTATGAAAGAGTGAATTATTCTCTCCGTCTTCCTACCTTAAGAATGCCGCGGTAGCCGCAAGACAAAGGAGCCACCTGATCCATACCGACCTCACACATCGCGATCTAAAGCAAGAGAAAACGCGTTAGACTTGTGCAGCGCTTTATTATAAATTATTCATTCATAAGTGAAACACCAGGATGAGTAACAAACCTTCCCAAACAGCAATAAGTGAAGGTTTGTTTAAAGACGTTACAGTGACACCCTGAGACAAAAAACAAATAGGATAGTGTTCAGCGACCAAGCAATTACAAAACAGGACCCCTTCATCACCGTGCAGTGTCATTGCATTTGACTCCTAGACGGTCTATGTATTTTGAAGTACCGGGCACTTCAAGAACCGACATATATTCGACAAGAGCAATAATAATAATAATAATAATAATAAACTAATTTTACATATTAAACAATTATCCCGGGGCGCTAAGCGAATGAGACAGGGATACACGACCTTGCAGGTAATATTTAAGATGTACTGTATTTAACATTTAAGCTCATCCAGAGAGCATACAACTTAAACAGACGAGTAATGATAAAGTTTATTTCAACAAGTAGACAAAGATATGAGGCGCTATATAACACTTTATTTCAACCAATGCTTTATTAATGTCTATACTTTAATAAGAATGGTATAGTTTGCTCTTTTTTTTACGAGAAACGGTTGAGTCACGTTACTTTCTTTTTTCACGCTTTCAAATTCCGCTTTGCATTTGACACCGACCAAACAAACTGATTCAGTTCCCACATCAAAGCCACGAGTGGAGCTGTAGAGGAAATCTGGGAGTCCTGTCTGTGGTTCTTGTGTTTAGAAACAATGCAATTAAGGAAAGATAATTTAAACCAGAATTAAGAGCAAAGAACCCAGACAGCAGTTCTCGGACGATTACTCATGTATGTTTTACTTCACAGTAGGAATCTTTAATGTTGTTTCCCATATATATAATGTGGCGTTTCTGTTATTACCTAATCTATACAATTCTTACACAGAAAAGCGCATGATTTCCTCATTGGTCACAAGTTTAACAGATACCAGAAATGACTCACGCTCGCTCGTCACAGAGTGGGTGGCACCCTGGGTACAACTGAACAGCGAGCCTAACGTGTATTACTGACAATTACCTCGTTGATTTATTAAATCCAATTCAGTGTTGCACCGCAAGTTTGATCCATTAGAAAATCGTTCAAACGCACAACAGGAAACGCACGTAAGATGGAAATGATAAAAACTTAACATTTTTTGTTAGTGACTTAAACCTCGATCACCGAAATGTACAGGCAGGAGAGCATCGTATTTGATTTAACTGATATCGGAAAAAATAAACCGGACGTACACTACTGCATTGTCAAAATAATTCAAGCACAAGTGATTTTTTTTTTGCGGCAAGTCAAAAAGTTTACGTGATAATGCAAAAAAAAAAAACCCGAAGATCCAACCTAAAACGCCGGTGGCTTTTAATCGGTTAAGGAAAATTGTGTTGTTCAAATAACAAATGAAAAATCACAGAACGACTTTCAGAAATTCTCATTCTTACAACAATACAGGTTAATAACTAATATAATATAATACCGCACCCAAATGTAAATAACTATGTTAGATTGCTTCAAGAGAAAGACAAAAAAATAATCTGTAATTGTTCACAAGCTTCAAATATCTCTTTCCTTGTATAACGCGTATCGTATTCGATAATTACGTGTCAATTTAAATTCGATCATTAAATTCACCTTTACTCAGGTGATTTTCTTAGCCCAAATTAGGAGCTATGCACAAGCAACACCGCACACTGCTTACCTGTTGAAGACGTTCTACAGTGAGAGAGAGATAATAATAAATCTATTCTTCTGAAAAGCTGGAAATATGTATATCCACAATAGGTCGATCGTATTCCAGCGACGTCCTGGTGGACTAAATTCCTCAAAACAGACAACCGATTGACGTTGATCTTCGATCTGTAGTAGATGCTTGAAAAGGCGGCTGCAGTTTTAACCTGCTGTCTTCGGTGGATGTGAATGATCCGGCTCCGTGCGGCTCTAATTAATGAGGAAGTGCAGATCACTTTGCTCCTTTCATAGACTGGAGACCAGTCGCTCCGGGGAGGAGCAAACAGTAAACACTGATCTGCCATTCACTCAGAGTAGGTGTTTCATCTACCCAGACTAGTACAGTACTAGTACTACAGCTGTGCCGCCGAGAATTGTAACACACCAGGCATGAAATAGTTTATGATTATACTACAACCGTAGCTGGAAGCGATATTTGGTACTGAAACTCCGCACGTTTTCTTTAGTGTTTTCTTCTTCCTGTACGTACTGTATACGTAGAGGTTAATTCCACGCTGAAAAGTAAAAAGAAATAAAGAGAAAAAAAATACAACGTTTCCACAAACGCGTGAAAAGGACTCCACAGCCTACACGTGCTTTTCCATCTTTTTACTTTGCAATATGGACTCAAACCTCTGCCGTACTTTGTAACACTCGCACCGAGGCAAATGCCTGCTCTAGTTTCTTAATGCACCGCACATGTTACAGCTGCGAATGAGCGCCATGTCTGTAAATATATGATAGAAAGTGCGCAGGCACTGCTGACGATATACGTTATGTATGGTACAAACACATACAGTACACGTCTATGTTAGAATTCAAAGGAACACGTAAAAGTTTATTCCCTGCTGAAAAGAGAAGGAAAGAAACACCACGTTTCGGCTGTGGAGCCTTCTTCGGGTGTGTTTGAGTTCTATGTCGCAAGTGGGGAGGGCACATTGCTTGTGTTATTGCATACATAAAATGTCCCTGAATGCACGGGGCAGCTTGTTCGTTTCAAAAGCCTGTTCATTATATTCTAGAAGAGATCAATTGGAAGTGTATCAGTGACCTTCAAAACCCTGTTCCCGATGGATTCGCTAAAAAGTTGCTTGAAATCAATTTGTTTGCCCTTGAATTTCATAAATTGTGCACTGTGTGCACAACATGATCACTTGTGTTCGGTTTGCAAGCCTTGGTATGAGATAAGACCACGAGCATTAAAATATCTGATAGAATGTGAATCATTTTTATTGACAAGGTGTACTAACGGGATTCTGATTGTGAAAAATAGCAAAATGGGAATGCCACATCTGAGATTTTACAAGCCTTTCCAGTCAGTGCTAAACTGTAATTATATATGTAATTATAGACAATTTAAGTTGTTCTTGAAAGAAATTGCAGTCTGATTTTGGCACACCACTGAAGGTGGTAATTGCATTTATCCTAGACACTTCATTTGCTGGGGATTTTGTATCACAAGTCTTGGTCAAAGAAAACACCGTAAAACCCTTCCTAGCCATGAAGTAACTCTGTACCGATGGAAGCTGTACAGTATAAAACCTGATACAAAAGATTTCATCTCTGCTACATAAAACGCAGCAATTGCTATAGTACTGCACATGCCAAGAATATACTTTTCAAAACACATCACCCATTCTTAGGCTTGTCTCACAGAGAAGCACATCATGACCAGTCAGTCAACAGTTCTTGCGCATCAATAAGTGCTGCGGTACAACACGGCATTCTTGTCAGAAGGCTTAATGACATTGATAGCATCTAAACGGGAATTACTGTGAAAATCACAGCAGGGCTGTGGGAGTGTGGCACAAGGTGCCCACCCGTGTTGCTGAAGCCTGCTCTTACAGATTGTGCTGCTTCATTGACTAACGGCATGCTGGCACATTAGAGCTACAGTATCTCCCACTGTAACAGAGCTCATTACTAAAGTAAAACAATGGAAATAACAAAAGAATCTAAATAGTTTTATTGATTGATTTTGAGCTGTTTCAGCTTTTTCCACACAGGCTGACCTCTGTTTAAGTCATCGCTTTTAAAAAAACGTAATTTAGTCCAGGCTGACATCCAGTGGTCTTGAGAAACTATTATTTTAGTGTGACTAGATGATTGTTGTGGTAAGAGTGGGGGAAATCAATGGGGGAAATCTACACTCTTTTTCTTCTCCTAACCAGCCCATTCACACAAGTGCAAGATGTCCATTCATGCACGTGATCTATAGGTTTTAAGCTCGGCAGTGCCTGTCATTAGAGTTCCCGTTCAAACTGGTGACAGTATGACATTAGGGCACAACTTACTCCAGCATGACCTTTTATTGCACTTGTTTCTGGGTTTGATTCTGTCTCCTCCATTAGCAACTTAATGGAGCCAGTTAAGTGGATAATAAGTACAATCAGTGTTTTCCAGGTGCTGATTGAAGAATGCCCCTAAAACCTACAGGATCTCAGCATTCAAGTACCAGCGTTGCTTGTCCTGCTTTGTTGCTTCAGCCTTTTAGAATCAATTGGTTTTCTAGTACAAAAAGGTTACCCATATTGGTGAGGTGTGCACTGGTTTTCATCATACAGCAGTGAGGTGCACAGCATCAACACCCATTTCTTTTCAGTTAAAGAGCTGTTCTTCAGTATAAGCTTTTTGGTACTTCCTATTGAGCAAAATCTTAATTGCAAATGTGTCAAATGCTCTCTAAAACATTAAAGTAAAAATGTATTTTTTTATTATTTGTTTTCCTGTGTTAATTTCAGCTGTGCTTTGACTCGCTGAAGACTCAAAGTTATCCAGTGAAAAAATGTTAATATTGGTTTATTGATCACTATTTGAATATTTCATTAACATTTTTTTGGTCATTCTTTCAATTCAATTCAATTCAAGTAATCCAGCCTATAACTGAATAGCTCCTTTCATATTCAGGTTCCCTTGGGATCCAACCATTGTCATAACCATAAAAATAATGATTTTATAAGTGTATTACCAGGATGTTTATTAAAATGGTAGTAACAGCTGCCAAAAAGGCATTTCACTCTTATAAAACCTAATGCCATGAACCACAGTTTTCTGCGCTCTGGATTAATAATTCAAGAATAACTGATCATCTGATGTAGTCACATCCATAGCTACTACAAACTGTGTGACAAATAAATGTGCCTAAGATTCCCGGCTTTAGTCCTGGTGAACGCAAGGAAAGCTGTGTGAACCTGCAGATGGATTTTGTTTACCACTAAATAAGCCATCGCCTAGCAACCCCTACATCTGGCTTTCCCTGTGCCTTTGTTGTGAGGCCTTGGTGTACAGGATCATGCAGTCAGGGGCTTCAGATGAATACATCAATCAGTACAATGTCTTTAGCTGCTGTGTCTCTGTTAGCTAGACGGTGACAAGACAGTGCAATAGTTTCAGAAGGACAATACAGTAAATAATACATGAAAGCAGCTGGAGTGTTAAAAATAGACACCTCGGAGCACACAATCACAGCAATATTCTGAACATGCTTTGGCCAAGTCCGTGACTATTTCTGTTTCTTTCACATTTCATAATCTGCATGAACCACTGTGAATGAAACATATTGAACTAGTACTTTTTCAGCACTTGCTCTTTGAAGGGTGTGTACAAGATTTCAGATCTCAGTTTTTGATTGCCCTTCGTATAGATAACAGGATTTTAGGTGGAGTTGTCCACACTTTCACACTACTATAGAATACAACCTATTCCAGTGGGCTCTTCACTGCAGATTTAGTAACTGAATTACCAGGACAGATTTAATGGCCTGATTGAAAAAAACAACCTTTAAGCATTACATTAAGTATCCAGATCTGACTGGACTAGTAGTACAGTCTCTAATCTGATACCAAAAAACTAACTACACTCTGCATATTAGCTTTGCAAAAAACTAAACCATTTGACAACAGCATCAGTAACGCTCTTTAGAAGTAGTCAGCACATTATTTGTGAAACAGCACTTGAAAAATCTGTATTTAAAGATAAAAGCATGTCAATTCAACATCCACACTGATCTGAGTGCTATGAAGGCCTTTATAAACAGCTTAGCGCCAAGGATTTTTAATTGCAATGCATGAATTATGTTGGGAAAATATCAAGTCTTTGTATTCTCTATATCCTCAAATGAATCACAGATAATTGTGTTCTTTAGTTTAAATTCTAAATAAAGCAAATGGAGCATTTCTTAAAAAGATGGCACTGTGCACATGCAAATGATCCGCTGTAAATTAGAAAACAACAGAGTGAACAATTCATACCTTTTTTCAGTAAAGGACAGTAAAACTACACCTCTTTGAAACCTTTCATGCTGGTGCAAAACTTTCTTCTTTAAAAGCAGATATCAATAAATTACCCAGACTATAATCGAGCCATAACATGACATCAGTGTTGTGTTGTACAGGGTTCAACTACAGTACCATGCCAGAGCACTCTAAAACAAAAAACTTTAGAAAATCTGATTGATGTCTGTAAACTGTAAGTGCCACTTTGCACATTACCACTTGCATTTACCTGGGTGATATTTTAAACAGATAAATACCAGCTGCAAAAATAGAGTGGGTTAGCATACTTTAAGTTCCCCTGTGTTTTGACTGCATGATTGCTTTTCCATATAAGCCAGCAGATGGTTCAGAGGCACTATAAAACAACACTAACCTAAGAATTAAAAACACAAATGATTGGTAAATCTCAGATTTGCTGGTAATGATAATGTTGTTGATAATGATTGGTAAATTTCATTTGTTTCCTTGTCTGATCTGTACAAAACTCAAAAAGCCATCATGCTTTAATATGACTTTTAACATTAGTATGTACAGTACACCATCTTGACATTATATATACACATCATTATATACTTTCTTCTATGAAATGTTTGTTTCAAAACAAGTACATTTCTTTAGCACTATGAAAGATGTTATATTGAAAACCTTGAGGTTTCTACCAAAAATGATTGATAAACCCAGAGATAAATCAATAAATGAATCAGGGAGCTGAAAGACAAATTAACATTCACAAATCACTTTCATCTTGCTATGTTTTAGGCTGATCTCACAAACCAAGAATGGCTGGGCCTGGTCAGTCCTTGGCTTAGAGACCTCCAAGGAAATCCAGGTTGAATGGATTAAGACAGGATACATGGATAAACCTGGGCTTTAACTGAATGGGGAACACCAAGTGATGTCTGACCATACCAATGTGTATATAACATTGAAGAAATAATGTTATGTGCATGTAAAAGGGGGTATCT